CTTATTTCCTTGCACCATATTTATATGCAAATTTTGATGGACCTTTGACCTCATCTCTACCCTTTATTTTCTGCAATTTGATATGATCTTAGCCCTTAAATCATATTTAGATCCTAGCCTTTCAATTGGATAAATCTTGGCCATTAACCTCTTTTTTTTTTTTTTTTTTTTTTTTCAGGCCCTTCCTTTAAAGATTTCTTAACTTCTTTTTAACTTCTAAAGTTCATAGCTAATTTAATTTAAAAGTTTAAACTTTTAATTTTATGCAATTAGGTCCCTAACTCTAAAATTTTATTCCATACCTTTTCAAAATTCAATTTCTTTTCATAATAAATTCAAAAACTTACTAAAAGAATTTAATCATCATTCACATAATTTTTATACCTTTATTTTGGCCTCCAAATTAATTATCTAGTCTAATAATACACTATTTTCAATAGAAAATATTCCTTATGCATAGAAAAATTTACTTAAGTTTATTAAATATTCCTACACATCCTAAATGATTTTTCTATATCCTTTGGGCAATTTTATTATACCTTTAAAGCACCTAAATTAATTAATTTATCTCAAAAATATTATTCAAGCACAATAAAATTCAAATAAAATATTCACAGAACATCAAGAAATTCAGTCAATAGCATAGAATAATCCAACACTCCTCTAACAAATATTCTATGTAAATAAAACATTTTTCATGCACATACTTAAATTAATTATTTCACATCACATTCACATTATATATATGGCATTTATCATACTTGAATTAAGTTTACCTAATACCTAAAGTCTTCTTTTATGTCCATAGATTTCTAATCACATCACATTCACATTATATATATCAAACTTTTAAACAAAAACCTGGCTTTTCTTCACTTCTTTCGTATGTGGACCCTTTCTGATTAGATGGTTTCGTGTAATATTTCCCTCCTTGGAATATGATTGTAGTTCAGTGCTTGGGAACTTGTCCAACTGTTGTCTATAAAACTTTTGCTCTGTTACTAGGATTTGCAGTATGGACCAAAAGACCTCTCAAAACCAATATTATATTCTTCACATAGTTATCACAGATTTTTTAGGTTGAAGGTTTTATGTTTTTCAAGGATATACTAAGGTTCACCTTCTGATATTTTCTATGAGGGTGTGGTTTGCGTCAAAAAAGTAACTTGTGTAGCATAGATATAGATTTCACCTTAGCGCATAGCTTTTCATAGAATATGTGAAGTTGTTAAATATGGCCATTTGTTTTCCGGTTCTAACCTAGGATTTCTTTTCTTGTTTGCATCTTTCTTTGAATATCCATTCTCTAGATCATTGTATGCAATTATTATGATTACTACTGTATTTTCAGGAGATGCATACTTTCTTGTTCAGTCTGCCCAGTCGGAACAGCCTATGCAAATTAAGAATGTGATGTTTAATCTCCCAAATCAATATTTTTCTTCTAATGTTCTGTTATAGAGGTGGATGTGCTTAACTAGTACCCAAACAAATATCTGTCAGATTGCAACTCGTTAGTATTTTTAGAACTGTATATAATATTTGTCACGTTGTGCATATTGCTCAACTTCTATTTGCCTACATCATTCATTTGGTTCTTTTGTTTTTTAATCCTCCGTTTTCAGATTCTTTATAGAAATCAAGACCCTTCTACCTTCAAAGCTTGCTTCTTTTCTTTTTAGAACATTGCTAACACCAAACAAAACATAGATATATTTAGTGAATTATGTGAAAATAAGGATGCCCATTCAACGTTATTATAAATAAAGATCCAAAACCCCATCGGCAAAAAATCGGAATATTCAAATAGAAAGATTCAGTTGAGAAATCACTTGATAAATCTACTAATTTCCTCCATTTTCATGATCTTGTCTGAAGTGGGAAACTATTTGTTTGACAAAAGCAGTTCAGTGACCAGCTTCTCCAAATTAATCGACGATGAACCAGTTGGTCCAGTAGCCTCTTCAGCCAACTTTTTCCAGTCCATGGCCTTTGCCCTCATTTTCTTACCCTTCTCTCCTTCCATGAGGTCTCTGACAAGCTTCTCCACTTCTTCCCTCTTTACGTTATTAGGGATCTCCATGCCAACTCCCCAATCATTGCAACTATACCTACAATTCATTTGTTGATCTGCAAAGAAGGGCCAACAAATCATGGGAACTCCCGCAGCTAAACTCTCGATAGTCGAATTCCAACCACTGTGAGTTAGAAACCCTCCAACTGATGGATGGTTGAGTACTTCCTCTTGTGGGCACCAACTAGCAATGAAACTACGATTTTCAGTTTCTGCTGCAAACTCAGCTGGCAAAGTTGCAGCATCACCAGTAACCAAATCTGGCCTTATGATCCACAAGAATGGGTGCTTGCTATCAGCTAATCCCATTGCAAACTCAACTAACTGTTCTTCTGTTATGACAATTACACTACCAAAATTCACATAAATCACGGAGTTGGGTTCCTTAGTATCTAGCCATTGGAGACACTCACTCTCTTCTTTCCATAGATTATAACCAATTGACTTCAAACGATCTTCTTGAATTTGATTGAGAAGTAACTGGTAAGGGCCAATAGCATAAACGTTACGAAATATAGAAGAAAGGCCATCCAAAACATCTGGCTCTAATGCATCGAATGTATGAACAACAATAGCAGGAGCCTTAACAGCACTTTCAACACTTTCGATGGAGAAGTTAACTCCAAAATCGTCTGGATCTGTTATAAATTGAGGAAATGGAAAATCCTTGAGACGGACATCTTTCATGCCCGGAATCCAGTTTATAGTTGAATCAAGATAGCTCTCATCTGCGAAGAACACAAGAAATTGAAGTCAGAGTGCGTTGACCATAGCAGGCACATCATTTTGTTGTTATATAACAATTTCAATTGCAAAGCACCTTCGAGTGGAAAGTGGCCTTTCTCCCTGAGTGCTAAGAGTTGCTTAAATGCCATTACGCCACACGCGGACATGGTAAAGGAAGTTACCACAGGCACTCCAATTTCTTCTGCAGCTTTGATGGCGAACGGCATGAAACAATCAGAAAAGATGCAACTCACCGGAGGAATGTTCGAAGACAAGCTATTGTTGAGCTTGGCAAGAAGACGTTGGAAAGGAGACAAGAAATTTGTTGCAACGGACTTGCAAAGAGAAGATTTGTCTTGGGGGCTATCGATATCTGAAGGAGGGAGACCATCAGGAATGGTTTCGAAACGGAAGTCGGGCAAACCATCAAGGGCATTAGGGCCTCTTGATTTCAAGAAACGTTTGTGACTGAATTCTGTGTTTACAAATGTTATGAAAAAACCTCTATAATGCAGAAGTTTAGCCAGTTTAAGATTTGCCTTGATGTGGCTTTGAAATGGAATAGGAATGACAACAGCATGAGGGCTATCAGCTGGTTTGGATCCCATTGTGTTACCAAGAAACCCTTATGGAATTTTGCTTCTTATTTCATAGATAGCTGAACGATAGACAGAGTGAACTCAGCCACTTTTTTTAGGTACCGCTAGCTAGTCCAACCAATAAGTCTAACCATGTTGTGTGATGGCTTAAGTCCCATTGTGTTCATGAGCACAAACCTTAAGGAACTTATGCTTCTTATTTTACAGATAGCTGGACAATAGAGTGAGCCGCAGCCACATCTTTTGACTACTTTAGGCTGCTATGATTTCCTTATCTCATCCTTTCTTTCATACTAAAAAGTCAGGCACACAATAGGCGATACTTTGATCTTATTTCAACAACTGTTCTTGTATTTTTCCATTTTTAATCATTTCTTTTTCTTTTCTATTTCGACATAGGGCAAACTAACTCTCTCTCTATCACATCACAATCATGCATTAGTCAAATAATTTCAGTCTTGGCTGTTTGTTGAAAAGTAAAACCGGGCCCCAAGTTGGAGGTGCCAGTCCAAGTGAGTTGCCATTTTATTGAATTTTTTAATTTTTGATTGCATTGGTAAAAAAAAATTATTTTTTAATCAAAATTTTATATTTAATAAATTGTTATTTGTTTTTTTCATAATTTTTATTAAAAAATTATTTATTATTCTTTATCTTTGAATTCTTAATTAAAAAAATAAAAAAACTTATTAATAAGATGGTGTGAAAAAACAATATCAAAGCTTACGTAAAAATAAATAAATAAAATGTTTTTTTTAAAAAAGTTCAATCAACAACGTAATATTCCTACCATCTTTATGTTTTAATTAAATTAAATTTTTTAATATCAAATAATTATAGTCTGTATAATTTTTAAGTTCAGATGGAATTTACTTAAGATGACGAAGTGTATTAGAGTAAAAATTCATTTTTGAGTTCTCCTTATTAACAAGTTCAGTTTTTGATCTGATATGGTTCTTTGGCCATTTACATCTAACTAAATTTTTGTGAAAATTAATTCTATACTATTATGTGCTCTTTTTCATAAAAAACATATCTTTAAGATTGTTAGTTGAAATTTTACATCTATATATTTTAATCTATGTATTTTTTAAAAGAAATTAGAATGATATGTCAAAGTAATTTGATTTTGAATTTGATAGTTGAATCTATCTAATTTTAAAGTGAGTTCATTATTGTTAATGAAAATATTTGATCATCTTGAATAAGTATAAAAATATAAACTAATCCAAAAAATATTAAATGGACCATCCATCATAAAATATAAGTCTTTTATAAAGATCTCAATCTCAATTATATAATTTAAAAGCTTCAAAAGCTTAGAAAGTATCTGAAACCTCATACCATTTAACAAACTTTAAAAAATAGGCTACAAGTTAGAAAAAGTATTAATGACGTAAAATATATCAAAAAAATATAAAAATATAAACTAATATAAAAAATATCGAATTGACAATATGTTATAAATTTGACAATTTTTAATTTCAATTATTTAACTCTATAATCATTCATTCTAAATTAATCTTACAATTAAATTCCTCACATATTGCACACGTATTTAATAATTGAAACAGAGATTAATTGAACTACTAGAACTAATTCTAAATTAGCTTATTTCTTCTCATGACTTGTATCTCCTTGTACGTAGCAACTGCTAAGGATTTGGGAGCCCCATCAACTTGAAGGTTCTTCAATTCTGGAGTAACAGGATGGTAAAAGACTAGCTGCCCCTCACATGTTTCCATAAACAACCCACCATTCTTCCAAAATCCTAAAGGCTGTTGAACTCATAAGTGGTCCAATGGATATTAATTTAGTCCATGATTCCTTAATCCCATTTATCAAAATACTCTGCTAATTGTCTCTTTTTATCACAGACAGTCATAACAGTGGAATCACATAACCAGAGTAATTCCACACCAATGGCTGAAAAATCTGAAAAAACATCAGAAAAAGCATCAGGGACAGGCGTATCAAAAAACACTTCAGTGCTCATGTCAAAGGAAACAGCACTGCAACCTGTGACTTGATTATTTGCCCACCAAGAACACATCCCGTTTGTATCTGCATTGAAACAAGATGCAAACAGATTATTTATGAAAACGCCTCCAAGAGCTCTCCAAGAATCAGTACTAAGACTGTATATCTCAACATGATTTTGCTCGCCACCCGACTCCATTCCCCACAACCCCCAGTAATCATCATAATCACAAGCACAAATTCTGATCACCTTGAAATCATTTATTTTGTCATCATATCCAAATCCCATAAACATATTAACATATATTGTCCAAGGCGGACCAACGTGTGATTGTGGGAGCACTTTTGATTCTTGATTTGCTGGATTCCACAAAATAATTTTTTGACCTCTCCCTCGATAATCATAGAGGCAAAAGATTCCATTGCATGATCCCAATATTCTTATAACTGGTTCATATTTTCAAATCTGAATATTCAAATAGAAAGATTCAATTGAGAAATCACTTGATAAATCTACTAATTTCCTCCACTTTCATAATGTTGTCTGAAGTGGGAAACTATTTGTTTGACAAAAGCACTTCAGTGACCAGCTTCTCCAAATTAATGGACGATGAACCAGTTGGTCCAGTAGCCTCTTCAGCCAACTTTTTCCAGTCCATCGCCTTCGCCCTCATTTTCTTACCCTTCTCTCCTTCCATGAGGTCTCTGACAAGCTTCTCCACTTCTTCCCTCCTTACGTTATTAGGGATCTCCATGCCGACTCCCCAATCATTGCAACTATATCTACAATTCATTTGTTGATCTGCAAAGAATGGCCAACAAATCATGGGAACTCCCGCAGCTAAACTCTCGATAGTAGAATTCCAACCACTGTGAGTTAGAAACCCTCCAACTGATGGATGGTTGAGTACTTCCTCTTGTGGGCACCAACTAGCAATGAAACTACGATTTTCAGTTTCTGCTGCAAACTCAGCAGGTAAAGTTGCAGCATCACCATTAACCAAATCTGGCCTTATGATCCACAAGAATGGGTGCTTGCTATCAGCTAATCCCATTGCAAACTCAACTAACTGTTCTTCTGTTATGACAATTACACTACCAAAATTCACATAGATCACGGAGTTGGGTTCCTTAGTATCTAGCCATTGGAGACACTCACTCTCTTCTTTCCATAGATTATAACCTATAGACTTCGAATTATCCACTTGAAATTGATTGAGAAGTAACTGGTAAGGGCCAATGGTGTAAACATGGTGAAATATAGAAGAAAGACCATCCAAAACATCTGGCTCTAATGCATCGAAAGTATGAACAACAATCGCAGTAGCCTTAGCAGCACTTTCAACACTTTCTATGGCGAAGTTAAGTATAAAATCACCTGGAATATCTGTTATTTGAGCATATGGAAAATCCTTGAGACAGACATCATTCATACCCGGAATCCAGTTTATAGTTGTATCAAGATAGCTCTCGTCTGTGAGGAAAACATGAGATTGAAGTCAGAGAGTGGCAACCATCGCAACCACATCATTTTGTTGTTATATAACAATTTCAATTGCAAAGTACCTCTGAGTGGAAGGAGGCCTTTCTCCCTGAGTGCTCGGAGTTGCTTATATGCCATTACGCCACATGCAGACATGGTAAAGGAAGTCACCACAGGAACTCCAATTTCTTCCGCAGCTTTGATGGCGAACGGCATGAAACCATCAGAAACAATGCAACTCACCGGAGGAATGTTTGAAGACAAGCTATCGTTGAGCTTGGCAAGAAGATGTTGGAAAGGAGCCAAGAAATTTGTTGCAATGGACTTGCAAAGAGAAGTAGGGTCTGGGGTTGCATCAATGTTTGAAGGAGGGAGACCATCAGGAATGGTTTCGAAGCGGAAGTCGGGCAAACCATCAAAGTCATTAGGGCCTCTTGATTTCAAGAAACGTTTGTGATTGATTTCTGTGTTTACAAATGTTATGAAAAAACCTCTATAATGCAGAAGTTTGGCCAGTTTAAGATTTGCCTTGATGTGGCTTTGAAATGGAATAGGAATGACAACAGCATGAGGGATATCAGCTGGTTTGGATCCCATTGTGTTACCAAGAGACCCTTATGGAACTTTGCTTCTTATTTCATAGATAGCTGAACGATATATAGAGTGAACTTAGCCACATTTTTTTTTTAAGGTACAGCTAACAAGTCAAACCAAGAAGTCCAATTATGTTGTGTGATGGCTTAGGCCCCATTGTGTTTATGAGCACAAACCTTACGGAACTTATGCTTCTTATTTTACAGATAGCTGGACAGTAGAGTGAGCCGCAGCCACGTCTCTTGGCTACATTAGGCTGCTATGATTTCCTTATCTTATCCTTTCTTCATTAAAAGTCAGGCACACAATTGGTGGTACTTTGATCTTATTTCAACAACTGTTCTGGTAATTTTTCCATTTCTAATCATTTCGTTTTCTTTTCTTTTTTGGCATAAGGCAAACTAACTATCTCTCTATCACGTCACAATCATGCTTTAGTCAAATAAATTTCAGAGTCTTGGCTATTTGTTGAAAAATAAAACCGGGCCCCAAGTTGGAGGTGTGCCAGTCCAAGTGAGTTGCCATTTTATTGAATTTTTGACTTTTTTATTGCATTGGTACAAAAAAAAATTATTTTTTAATCAAAATTTTATATTTAATAAATTTTTTTTATATTTTTCATAATTTTTATTAAAAAATTATTTATTCTTTTTTATCTTTGAATTCTTAATTAAAAAACTGAATAAATTTATTAATAAGATGGTGTGAAAAAACAATATCCAAGCTTACGTGAAAATAAATAAATAATTTTTTTTTAAAGTTCAATCAATAATGTAATATTCCTACCATCTTTATTTTTTAATTAAATTAAAATTTTTCAATATCAAATAATTTTACTCTGTATAATTTTCAAGTTAAGATGGAATTTAGTTAAGGTGACGGAGATTATTAAAGTAAAAATTCATTTTTGAGTTATCCTTATTAACAAGTTCGAGTTTTTGATCTACTATGGTTCTTTGACCATTTACATCTAACTACGAGTTTTGTGAAAATTAATTCTATACTATTATGTTCTTTTTTTCATTAAAAACATATCTTCAAGATGGTTATTTAACATTTTACATCTATATATTTTAATCTATGTATTTTTTTAAAACGGATTAGAATGATATTTCGGATTAGAATGAGATGGAACCAAGTGTCTCACACTTGGAAAAATCACAAGAAAATCTTTCTTTATATATTCGGCTAAGAAAAGAAAGGAGAAGGATGATGAGCAACCAAAGATTCAAGGAAGAACAAAGAAAATTCAAGTCACTTCAAGTAAAATTAAGCCTACCTACCGACCAAAACCAGCTAAACTACCTTAGATCCAAAATCACCTTAAAATCACTTGAAGAAGGCAAACGAAGGAGAAGGAAAAAGAAAAGTTTGGGTTGAAACTTTGAAGAAGAATGGGGAAGAGGAAGCTGCAAGCTACAAATGAAGAATTTGATCAAACATCAAGTGAGGTAAGTGTAGTCCTCACTACACAATAAGAAAATGATAAATTGATGATTGATTGTCCATATTTTGAAGTTTTAAAAGTGGTGAATTAGTTGTTCAAATTGTTGGATTTTTTTGTATAAATGATTTATCTTGATGAGTTATTGATGAAAACAAGTTTGTGACGGTCGAGATAACATGTATAAAGGTTTAATTAAGGTTGAATTGAAGAATTAAAATTGAGTAATTGAAGTCTGGATGTTTTAGCCAAAATAGAGAACTGAAAGAAAAATATTAACTCTCATGATTTTATGTTCTTAGGTGTTCTTTAGGTGGATTAGGCATGTTTAAGGGTGTTTGATTGAAAAAATTTGCATTGATTACCTTTGTTGATCATTTTAGCCATAATCCTTGAATTCGGACTAATGGAGTTAACAAGTGTAATTAGGATTAATTGGTTTAATTGGATTGATTGTGTGTTTATATGATAAATTAGATATGATTAGTGTGATTAAATGAAGAATTGGTGTTGGTTGTTCTTGGTTGGTTAATTTGGCCAAGACCTTAAGCTTTGGTGAGGTTGAATTAGTTGATATTTGATGTGTTTTATTGTTTGATAGTGAATTAACATGGGGATGAGTGATTAAATTGAATAATTTAACTTCATTAGGTAATGGATATTATTCGACCAAGAATTATAATTAAAGGGTAATTGCTCAATTTCATGGTTTTGTAGTGGATTGATGTTTGTTATGTTGTTTTATGGTGAATTTACGTGATTTATGATTAAATTGTGCTTGGGTTAAATGAAATGGAACTCCTTGATATATTTGACTAAGTACTTAATTTTGTCGTCAATGTTGATTGATCTAATGCTAAATTTATGCATGCTTGATTTATTTGGAACATGTTCATGCTTAAAAAGGTTATTATTCATGTACTCTTAATTTATTAAGCATGCACGTTCATGGAAAATGTGTCTATCCGACATCGAATGGGACTCTAAAAAAATTTAAATTTTAATATTTTTTTATTTATTCTTGGGACATGATTTATTATTGACTTGGGAAGTTGCTAATTGATATTGTAGGAATTAGAAACCTAAAAATAGTAATGGTTCATATATTCTAGGGTAAGAAGTTGGTCATGGTTTTGAAAAGATATCAATCATCCAAAAGCGTCATTTCTTAAGAAATGTACCAAGTTTAGTTTAATTCTAAAATTTATCTCTTAATTTGTTTTTTCTTTTCCTAACATTGCTTCTTTTCTTTTCTTTAATTTTTTTGTAACATTTTATTTTTATTTTCCTAAAGTTCCTTTTTTTTGTTCTTTTTTTTTTTTTAGTTAGTGGGGAATCGTTATCGGTCCCTAAGAATTAGGAGACTCAATAATTCATCCACTTATCTATTACCTAACCTAATTATTAAAATAAATTCTAAAATTGACATTAACTAAATGAATTCAAAATACTAAATCTAAATTAAGCATAAAATCTTAATAAAAGAGCATGCATACCTAAAAATAAACGAGTTAACAAAAACAAACCAAATGGTCATTAAAGACTAACCAAAATGCCCTTGCAATGCTGTTGGAAAATAACCAAAATGCTTCTAATAAAAAATGACCAAAATGCCCTTATATGTCAAATTTACAAAATTACCCCTTAGAAAATTACCAAAAAAACCCCTACACAATTT